TAAAATGGGGATAGGAACAGTCCCTATCTCTCTGGCTTGTGGTGACGATAAAAAGAAATAATGACTGTAAAGCACTTAACACAGAGCCTGACTTAAGAACTGGGAGTAATTTTTATTTCATTTCCCCATTTCTTTGTTTACACAGCCTAACACAGGCTAGGCCTATAGGAGTCTTGTATGAATGTGGATTTCTGATGTTCATTTCCTTTCCTTCCTTCTTGCTCCATTTTCTCCCATCTTTCTCTATCCCTATGTCTTTAAGGGAATGGATCATAAGAGCCTCGTGAGCACTTTTTATGTACTCAGGCTTGAGCCTGGCTCTGCCAACGGTGACAGGCTCTATAAGCAATCATGAGATCTAAATGTGGGGTTTGGCTCTGCAAATAGGGACAATCTTTGTGAAGTTTTGGGCATTGAAAATGGTAGCATGGGGCCGGCCATAGTTCACTTGGGTGAGTGTGGTTCTGATAACACTAAGGCCACAGGTTCGGATCCCATATAGGGATGGCCGGTTAGCTCAATGGGTGAGCATGGTGCTGACAGCACCAAGTCAAGGGTTAAGATCCCCTTACTGGTCATCTTTTAAAAAAAAAAAAAAAAGAAAGAAAGAAAGAAAAAAAAAAAAAAAGAAAATGGTAACATGTTCTGTAAATTATCATGAGATCTGTGATAGTGACAGGCTCAGAAATCAGTGATGGGATATGCTCTGCAGATGGTAATAGGCTCTGCAAACTCTGATGAGTTTTGTGTATGATTTCAGGCTCTGCAAACTCTAACAGGCTCTGCAAACAGTGATGGCCCTTGTAAATAGGGACAGACTCTGTGAATGGTGACGAGCTTTGCAAGCAGTGGTGGCAAGTTGTGATGGGCCCTGAGAAACTGAATAATAGTTCTTACCTGTGAAGGACAAGAGGTCCCCTCTGCGGGCCTCTAAAGAGCAAAGCTCTGTCTCAGTACCATGGACAGCAAGACCTCCCCCTTTCCCTTCCAGGCCCAACTAGAGCTTCTCTGTCTTTTTCACTGGTGATGGGTGTATGTTGGGGGATGGAGGAGGTAATGGAGAAGGGGGACAAGGAGAGGAGTGAGGCTGTGTGCCCACTCTCAAGGCTTTCAGCTGGTTGAGAAGACAGACTTGTAAGTAGCCAAATGGGGGGATTGTGTTTGTGTTGACAAATCTGTTCTCAGCCTAGCTATTTGTGAGGTAAAACGTGTCTTTCCACATCAGAGGCTCTCAGAATGCTAAAAGGGTGTTTAAACCACACTGGTCCTCCTGCGGGAACTGAGAAGTCAGCCTTGCAAAGCACGTCTTGCAAGCTCCAGCCGACCTTAAATTCTAGCTGGCACCTGAATAGCTCTGTAGCAATTTAAATTTCTCTGTCTGTCCTTTCCAGGACTAGCCACATTAACAGGTCTGTATCACAGGAAACATTCACACCTCTCAGAGCACAGGACCTAGGGAGGGCAGAAGCAAGAATCTGTCCTAGATAGGCTTCCAGAAACAGTGCTGGGGACCTGATGGTGGTTGAAATTGAGATGGAGATGATGACCATCGAGGTGGAGATAGCTGCAGAGGTGATGGTGGTGCTAATGTTCTCACGGAAGGGTGGATAGAGCAGGGGTGCTGATGATGGTGGAGGTGATGGGGAAGTGCTGGCAAGAGTCAAATGTGGCAATGCTATAGGCAAAGAAATAGGCCCTAGTGGGAGGTGGTTTGGCATAGTATCAAAGGGTACCTCCTGGGTTCAAATTCTCGTTCTGACATTTGCTGGCTGTGTGACCTTAGGCAAGTTATTTAACTTTTCTGTGCCTCATTTTCCTCATCTGTACAATGGGGTTAATAATAGTGCCTACCTCATACAGTCGTCTTGAGGATTAAATGAGTTAATATAAGTAAAATACTTGGAATAGGGCCTGGCACATACTACATAAGTGATAGCTGCTACTACTATTAAGGAAAGCAGTGACAGTGGTGATGATGAAGGTGGGGATGATGGCAACAAAGTTGCTAAGGTGACAGGGATAAAAAAGTGACAATATGATTTACTGAGTACTGACTATGTGTCCTGCACTGCTCGAAGTGCTTTATGGGTAGTAACTTGTTTAATCATTAGAACCCTATTAGGTAGCTAACATTATCCCCTTTTTATTTATTTTTTTATTTAGGCAGCTGGCCGGTACAGGGATCTGAATCCTTGACCTTGGTGTTGTCAGCACCATGCTCTACCCATGGAGCTAACTGGGCCAGCCCTATCCCCATTTTAAAGATGATGAAACTTAGGCACAGAGGGGTTAAAATACGTGACAAGAGGTAACACAGCTAGTAGATGGAGGGGCCACAGAGCCTGTGCTCTTAACCATTTGCTACACGGTGATGATGGAGTTGGGGATAGCATTAGCAAGTGCTGTGTACCTGTGGAAGCAGGGGTGGGGGTGGGGGGATGACAGTGAGGGTGGCCTGGGGGTGGTGGGGGTGGTGGTGGCAGACATGAGCTGGTGCTGGAGGAGGTGAAGGCCTTCTAGAAGAACAGCCATTGGCCAAGCTCCCAGCAGGGTCGTGGCTGCTGAGGGGAGGCTCTGCCAGGTTTCTCTGGGCAGGGGTGAGGACTCCTGGCCTCTGTAAGGTTTTGCTCTGACAGCAGGAAGGACAGCAGCACATCACTTTCTGTTCAGCAGCTGGGGACTTTGCGTCCCAGGCAGTGAAGTAGGAAGGACACAGGCAGACTCTCTGGGACGCTGGGTGGTAGAAGGGTGGGCTGGGCTTCCTATTGGTTCTCTGTCCCCTTCATGGCATTTGGCATACTCTGACCCCATAACTACCCAGTCTGCACACTCCCTGTCAGAGCCTGGTCTTCATTAATGGAGCAGGGAGCGGCAGAGGAAAGGTGTCCGTCCTATCACAGAACAATCCCGGCCTCGCCCGCCTGGTGCTGACTCTAGTCTGCCTCTCGCCTGCTTCTCACTTGCTGCTGTGCTGAAGGGAAGCCTTAATAGAGAATCCGCCTCTGTGCCGCCGCTCCCTGCCCGCCAGCCCATCCCTATTATCAGCACCATCAACGGCGGCAAATGACACTCTCGGAATCTTGACTCCAATCTGATGCCTGGTCCCGGGGGGCCGTGGAGAGGCGCAGGCCAGCCAGGCTGGGGGGTTGGGGAGGGGCTGTGCAGTAATAGGATGTGGCCGAGGACGGTCTGTTAGCGGCACCACAACCGATGATGAGCCCCCTCTCCAGCCCCCTGGCGTCCCCCATCCTCGCTCAGCCAGGCACAGCAAGAGGCCTGGATGGGGGAGTCGTGAGGAGGGGCAGCTGCGGGGGTGGGGCTGGGCTAGCCCATCTCTAAGTCCTGACCCAGGCTCGCTTGAGGGATGTGGAGGTGGGAGTGGGAGGTTGAAGAAATGAGGCCACTCAGACACTTCCTTCTGACCATGTGTCTGGGGAGGAAGAAAAGTAGGGGAGCAAGGGGTCCATCTGAGGGTGGGTGATTTTCCCCATTCTCTACCTTGCAACGTCCTGGAGCTTCAGGTCCAGAAAGAGCCTCAGGTAGTGTCCCATCCAGCCTCCCTTCTCCAGCCTCTTCTTGAACTCTATTGGGCATGAGAAACTCAGCACCTTCCTGGGCCACCTGTCTCAGTGCTAAGTGCTCTCATTTGGAGACCTGTTTGGCCTTTCTTGGTACCAGGGTCCTGAGACCCCCACAACCTCACAGGGTTTGGAGACAGAAGGTAGGCCCCAAGTCTGCTTACCTAGGCCCTCACTCCTCCTCATAGCCACAGATCTTCTGGCCTGTGTGTAATGTGTGTGTGTGGTAGGGAGGACAAATGGGTGGACCCATCACAGGGCCCTGGAGAGGCAGTGGAGATAGTGGGCAGAGTCCTGGGTGAGTGCAGGACACCTGGGTCCCAGCCCAGCTCATGTGCTGGGTGGCCATGGCAGAGTTACATACCCAGAGCCCTTGCTGAGAAAAGTGATGATGAAGTCGGCTTTTCTCCCTCTGAGGCCTGGCAGGCTAGTGCTTTGGGACATAGAAGTCATGAATTTGGGGCTGGACAATCTGTAGATATAGTCTAATTATCTCCACCCTCTTCCCCACATACACAGCACCAAGGGGTTGGAGGAAAATGAGGCGAAGACTAGAAAGCGAGCTTGGGCCTGGCTGTGTGTGCTGGGCACACCGAGGAGGGGTTGGAAGGCAGGGCCCGGTCCAGTCCTCAAGGGTGCCTGGCATGTTAGAAGACTGAGCTCTCGGGCCAGCTGGACAGGGCTCCCTCCTGGGCTTTGCAACAGGAGAGAGGTGCTGGGCCTGCCTAAGCAAGGACCCCTGGGCCAGGCAGGAGTGAGAGGGAGAGGAGCTGAGGCCTGGCTCACAAATCCTGTCTCCTCACCCCCACCAGATTGGGCCCATGACCACAGCACTGAACTCAATCTGTTCTGCCTGCTGCCCCCACTATGCCCCATAGTCCAGAGGCCACAGAACTCTAAACTACTTGCCTCTGCTGAGTGGCTGCCCTCAGTGTCCTCAGCAGGGGCCTGGCCATCAGTCACAGGGCTGGCAGTCCTCAGGACTGGACATGCAGGGCTGGATGTGGACCAGTGATGGCAGGCGGCAAGGAGCACCGGCTCCTGTTCATGTGCCCCCTTGTTGGCTTCTGTTCACTGTGCACCTTCTGTGCCTCCTGTGCTCCTCCCCAGCTCACCTGTGTTCTCACCTGTGCCCATCTCTCCTTTCCCCCATCACTGTGTCCACCTCACCTGTTCTGTTCCATATGCCCTTCTGATTTCTCCCCTCGCTCTTCCTTCCTCAGGTCCTTCTCCCATGCCCCTCCTTCCCAGTCTCTGGGTCGCTTTGGCCCAGTCTTACTTCCCCTGTCTTAGCCAGTTTCCTGTGTTGGTCTCTCCTTCCCTTCTGCCCCCCAGGGGCTGAAAAGTCAAGATTCAGCCTGTACAAATGCATCTTCTGGAAAACTGCCTGTACGTTGGACTGACCATCTTCTTTTCCAACCAGCTGCCAGTGGAGAATTGGGACCCCAAGCCAGGATAGATTTTTTTTGACCCAACCAAGGGCATCTGGAGGTGAGAGGAGCAGGCCTTGTGTGATTGGGGGAAGAGTAACAAAGATCCTGGCTGAGGCACCCTGGGGAGAGAGTGAAGTTCTTAAAGTCAGACAGCAGGGGGCGACCAATCCATAGTGACGCCTGGTTTGTTTCTATTCTCCCAACCCATAGCTGGAATTGTCCAAAGGGGTAAGTGTTGAGTACACAGTGGGTGGGAACCCTAGAGGGCCCTGGGTAGGGGGGAGCTTTGTCCCAGTTTGAAGTTGGCCGTGGACTGTTAGCTTTTTAAAGAAACTCTTAGGGCTGGCCAGTTAGCTTAGTTGGTTAGAACAAGGCCTTGTAACACCAAGGTCAAGGGTTCAGATCGCTGTACCAGCCAGCCACCAAAAAAAGAAAGAAAGAAAGAAAGAAAGGAACTCTTATCTGCTCCCAAAAATAACTTCTGTATTTGAAATCCTGCAAGGGGTGAATGACCTTGGGGCTTTAGACCCACGGTGGAGAGGGAAGAGCAAGAGGCAGTGCGGTTGCCCTGGGAGGGCCTCCTCCCTGTTCTCAGTCCTCAGGGAGACTGGCACCTCCAGTCCCCTGAGAGCTCCCCTCTCATCTACAGGCAATGCCCCCAATCCACAGAACTCTCACAGCCACCCCAGTCCAGCAGGGAGCAAGCCCAAGACATCCCCTACAGACCTCCTATGTGGTGCCCAATGGCATAGAGGAGAGGGAGGGGGATGGGAAGGTGAGCCTTCCCTGAGCCTGGGCATGAGGTCAAAGCAACTGTATGTGACATTGACGCTGACTAGGGGTGCAGCCCCACCCCCTGGGGCCTGTACCACCACTCTCTTTGTCCTCAGTGCCTGAAAGCTCACCATGGTTTGACCCTCAGGAGGGAAGGCACTGCCCCAGATTTGAATAATATAACTATTCTATTATATTAATAATGTGGTGGGGCAGCATGAGGGCCCAGAAATGGCTTGGAGAGAACCTAGGTGTCTGGGGACAGAGGGAGACTTCCTGAAGGCTAGACTTGATGAGCACGGTCTTTCAGATAGCCCCATGAGATGGCCTGGTGCAATCATTTCAGGGCCCATAGACACTTTTCTGGGCCTCACATTATGTTGGGAACTGGAACTGAGATCCTCAGTGTAACGTCCCCCACCCCCTGCCCCAGCAGACCATGGAAGTTTGGTAAATATCGTAATCAGATTAGTGGATTGGAGACAGCAGAGGCTATGGTGGGAAAATGCTCTGTGCTGGCCTGGCCCTAACCCCTCTCCTGGGAACCCAGCCCCCTTGCCCTGTCCAACCCTTTTCCTGTGGGCCCCAAAGCTGTCCTGGCTCTTCAGGATCCTCTGCCGGCCTGGGTGACTCCCTGGCACCTGGCTCTCTCTCTCGGTCTGCTGGAGATTTCTGCATCAGGGGTCACCTCAGTCTAGGGGAGGGATGGCTTGGTAGAAAGCCCCACACTTCCATTCCCAGGAAGCTAGCCCTCTGGGGCTGCTTTTCTCAGACCACTGAGCCCAGCAGGGACCCCTGCCCCTTCCTCCAGCCATGATGCTGCTCACCTGTGAGGCTGAAATGAAACTTCAGGATTCCAAGGTGGTCATGGGGTGTCTGGCAGGAGGCACGGATTTCATCAGGGTTGAGTCAAAACCTCTTCCCTCCTCTGTCTTCTCCATGACCAAGCTGAGTACAGGTCTGGGCATGTGGAGTCCTGGAAGTCTGGTCAGACGGAACAGTGTGGGGCAGAGTGAGCCAGAGGTGTCCGTGGAAAGGCAGGGGCTTCAGGCTGGCCCAGGAGTGGAAGGGCTAGGATTGCAGGGGCTGGTGACCCATGGGGCTAGGGGACGAAAGCTGGATGGCTGGGAGGTGGACAGTTAAGGATTGGGGGCCCAGAATCAGAGGAGGTGGAGATTGGTGGTTGAGGGCTTGGAGTCTGGGGGTTGGGGACTAGAGTGTGAAATTAGTGGCCAGGAGATTAGGGGTTAGAGAGTTTGGGTCTGGGGTACTGAGGAATGGGATGATATTGGGGGCTGTGGATTTAGGATATTGTAAAATTTAGGGGCTGAGATTTAAGAACTGGGGTATTGGGACTAGGGTATCAGGGCCTGAAGAGAAGAGGTTGAGGTGTTTGGGGGCTAAGGAACTAGGGGGCCAGCGGATCTGCACATGGAGAGAAAGGAGGCAGAGAAACATCCTCACAGACAGAGAGGGGTGTCCATGTGTGGAGGGGATGAAGTGCAGACCGATCCCAGGCCAGGTCTTCCTCAGCCCCTGTGGCCGTGCTGGGGCCATCAGGGCGGGCAGTTGGCCTTTCCTTGTCGGGCTGTCAGAGCGGGTTAGGCTTGGGGAATTGGTTCTCTGGATCATCTCCCGGGAGCCAGCCCCTCCTGGCAGCTTTGTTTGGCCGAAGCGCAGGGATTAGCAGGACTGCCCCCACACAACCTCCCAGCCGCCAGCTCCTGGCGCTTTCATCCCTGAAGGTCGCTAAAGCCTCAGTGCTTTGAGATTAGGCCCCACAAAGGGGCCCCTTGTACTCCAGCCAAGCCTTGGGGGCAGGGAGTGGAGGGGGTCCCAAGAACTCAGTGCAGGCTGAGCCCGTGAGACAAATCCTTCTCTCCCCTGGCACATCCAGAAGGGTCCACCAGGCCAAAGACTGAAGACCCCTCCCACCCTCATGCCCCAGGCTCAGCCTGTGGCCCCAATGGAACCTAGTGAGGGAGCATCCCAGGCCCAGGCTGCCTCCCCCAACATATCAGCATCCACCTGTGGGCATCTCAGGGTGGAGGTGAATAGGGGAATAGGGCAGCACTGAGGGCTTGGGGGGCCCAGGGTAAAGTCTGGAGCAGGTCTAGATCAGAGGCAGAGAAATGACATCAGTCCACCCTGCTTATTGAGTGGATGAAGAGACCAACCAGGGCTCAGGGAGAGGAAGGGGCTTTTCCTGGGTTACACCAAGTGGCTGGCAGAGCTGAGGCAGGAATGTGGTGAGCTCCCCTTTGCACCAGGTGTCTGAGCCCAGGCTAGAGGTCAGCAGGTGTTCTTGATGGGCAGGGGGTGGTTTTGTGCTTCCTGCACATAAGAGAGTGATATTTCACACATTTGGATTTCATGGGCCAGCAAAAAAGTGTTTTCAATGTGGGTTCCAGCATAAAGTTGCCAGCTGTTAATTTTGCCTTATAAGGGCATGGAGGGAAAACTACCAACTGCTGTCAGCATCATTTCTTTAAAAAAGGATATTTTAGCATCAAAAAAGTAGAAAAGACATAATCCCAGAATAGAGAGGCTAGAGCTTCAAATTGAATAGATACAGCTTTATAAAAAATTTCCTACAAAAACCTTATTTTTCTTATTTATTGGTGTTTGGGTGAAAATGTCTTGGGACTCCTAGACCAAGTAACCTTAGAGGGGATGCCTGTCTCAAGGGGCTAAAGACCTTAGGTCTCATGCACCCAGGTCTCCTAGATTGGAGTTCTGCCGACTCCTCCATGCCAGGGGTGGGGGTGGGGGTAGATGTTTCAGGTATAGCACTGGGAAGGCTGGGGGAAGGGGCCCCTGAGACTGGGCTGCTGGCTCAGGGGCTCTGCTGAGAGCACAGTTTTGGCCTTGGTCCCCTCATAGCCAAGGAGACTTACAAAGAGGAGGGGGAGGGAGCAGGCCTCACTGCGGTCGATAGAGGGAAATTTCTTCCTGTCCTCTTGCTCATAAAATGTTTGTGGCCAACATATTGCACAACATTCCCAGAGAGGCCACAAAAGGTGGTGCTGGGCTGGCAGGGTCAAATGGAGCTCATGGAGCCCAGCCCCTCTGCTCAGCCCCCCAGCTGGGTCAGCCTGTGGGGCTGGTGATAGCAAGGACCCAGGGTAACTGGGGTGGTGGTGATGAGTATATGGGAGTTGCCTGAGGAACATCAAAGGTGCTCAATAAATCCCTTGTGAGAAAGTGTCCCCAGGGAGGAGGCTGTCAATGAGAGGTGAGAACCAATATTATTAGCTGCTACTTATATGGCATTTACTACATACCAGGCACTGTGCTAAATGTTAAACCATTTAACTCTTATAATAATCCTAGGGAGTAAGTACGATTATTTCACCCATTTTACAAGTAAGAAAACTGAAGCACAGAGGTTAAGTGCCCAAGGTCACAGCTAGTAAGTAGCAGAGCCTGAATCTGAACCTGGGCAGTCTGTCTCAGGATCTATGCATTTAATTACCATGAATGCTGTACTGCTATACTCTGGTTCTAAGCAAGGGTTACCTCTGAGTTCCCACCCTCACCTGGCCATGCCCTCAGGAAGCTCCATGGTCTTCCTGAGTTCAGGGCCATTGAGAGGTGCTCATCATCTTGCAGACATTGGGTAGAATGCAAGAGAATTCTTGCCTAGTTGTTGTGTTTTTTTTTTTTTAAAGTCCACAAATTCTTTGATACATCTTCCTTTGCAAGGTGGGGTGTAATTCCCTTGAGTGTGGGCTGGGTTTAGTGACTGCTTACAATGAATAAAATATGGCATAAATGATGAGATGTCACTTTTAAGATTACATTATAAAAGACTACAGCTTCTGTTCTCCACCCCACCTCCCTTCTCTTTGGCTCCCTCTCTCTCAGATCCCAGCCATCGCATGAAGAAGTCTAGGCTATCCTGCTGGAGAGACCACATGGAAGAGAACTGAGGCACCCCAGCTGCCAGCCAGCATGAACTGCCAGCCATGTCAGTGAGCCTTCCTGGAAGAGCCTTCTCTCCAGTCCCAATCAAGACTTGAGATGATATAGCCCTGGCCAACACCTTGACTGCAATCTCATGACAGACCTTGAGCTAGAAGCACCCAGCTAAGCTGTTCCTGGATGCCTGATCCTCGGAAGCTGTGATGTAATAAATGTTTATTGTAAACCACTATGTTTGGGTGTAATTTGTTATGCAGCCACAGATAACCAATACACCTGGCCAGTCTCATTGGCTGGAATCTCACCATTAGAGCTTCACCCTAAGGGTGCGTTAAATAACTTTCTCCCCCGTTGCTCCCTCCAACCCTGAGATAAATATCAGTGGGGCTAATGCTGGTTTGCTGAATCAGATCATGGCTGGATGACATCTCCAACCTGGTTAGGTGAAGCCATTCTGAGAATGGTATGTGCCCCCTTAATCATTCTCAACCCACCAGGGCCAAGCTGGGGTGGTCACCAACGAGCAGCTTTGATGGAGTCACATCACATATAATTTCACGGCTTTCCCATATGGCTCTCTCTCTCCCTGAAAAGCCACCCCTTGCTTTAGCTGACAGCAAGGAGTCAGAGAGGAGAATAAGGAGTCTCATTCCATGGGGATGAGAGACTGTGGAGAGTTGGGCTCTGTCCAGAGTAGGGCCCAGGGCTCCACAGATCCCATCCTTGGGACCTGACATTCCTCGGTGCTCCCCATTCCCTTCCTTGTAGTGGCCACAGCTGCATTTGTGGGACCTGTCAGCAACTTCCAAACTCCTTTTAGAGTCCCTACCCTTGGCTGGCTGCTGACTCAGTGTCAGAGGTTAGCACAATGTGACTTGTACATCTCAGTGTCACAGTGTGTATGCGTGAGTGTGTGAGGACCTGGAGTGGGAGATATCTGTGTAGTGTGTGCTGATGGCCTTCGTATAGCATGCATTTGTGTGCATGTGCATTGGATTTGTGGGTTTGGTGGGGTGGTGGGGGGAGTACTGTGCAACTATATTTCTTTCCCTGGTGCGTACCTGGGAGAGTATACATGTATGAGAATATTTATATATGCATGATGGCTTTATCAGGGTGGGGGCCTATGCATGTCATCTGTGTGCCTGTGTTTGCTGCATCTGGGATGTGTGTCTGTGTGTCTGGGTTTCTATGGGCAGGCACCAGCGCTAGGAGTGCCTGAGCTGTGGTCCTCAAAGGGTTAAGGGAAACAGGCGCCGCCATAACTCTTAATCATAGCTTTGCAAGCTTAGCCAGTGCCCCTGTTGAAAAATGTTTCAAAAAGCAAAATAAATGATCTTTTAGTTACAGAAGTATTGATTTTGCCCACATCTAGTAATAAAGAGCAAGTCACCTGTAGCTAAAACTCTTGTAAAATATATTTTATACTCTAATAGTCTGCAGATAGAGTCACCCGCTGAGCATAGATGACAAATCTCCCCAGTGCGGCCTGCGCCCCCCATATTTCACGTCAGGGACGCGGTGGTGGCGGTGCAGGCAGCGACAGAGCTGGGCCTCCCCGCGGGTGAAGACGTGGCCTGATTGGATGGAAGAAAAGAAAAAAGCCAGGTTCCTGGCTCATGGTCCACCCCCTACTCCCACCCTGAGCCCTCCGCATCGACTTGGGTCATGGTGGAGGCTTAAGACCAACTGCCCTTGGACAGAATGCCCCTCCTATGTCCAGACCCCTCAGGAGGAGCTCCCCCAGGCTGTCAGAGCAGGGCCATGTTTCTCCCTATCACCTAGCCTTGGAGGCTGAAAGTTTGGGAATGTTGAGGCTGGATCTAAGGGGGTGGGGGCTGCTTCCTGGTCTGAAGGCCAGTTACTCAAGGTGTGCACAGACATGTCACACATGTGCCATACTGTCGCCTCTTCTAGGCCTCTGTGTACACATAAAGGGACACACTTGGCCCCCAATGCACACATACAGAGGTAGCCCTCACGCACATTCAGAGGGTCATACTTGACACCCCCCAACACACACAACACTTGGCTGTATGCATGCACTCAGACACACACTCAGGACCCCACTTGCTGCTTATCCAGTCCCTTCACACAGACCTGCCATACATCTGAGGAGCCAGGCTGCATCCTCTCTACCCAGGGAATTCCTTCCAGAAACAGACTTCTGTCTGAAATGACCAGACTGCTTTTGGAGATGGGAATGTGTACTACACTCTTCTCTCTCACCTTAGATCTAGCCAAACACACACCCACCCACACATCTTCCTCTCTCCTCCCCTCACTGCAGGTGGGAGGGGAATAGCTTAGTGGGAGCACCCTGGTCTCTTGGTTTTCTTTACTTTCCAGAGCGGGTGCAGCCAGAGAAGAAGCCCAGGCCTGGGAGGCCACACACCTGGTGCCAGTACCTCCTCTGCCCTGACCTGCTGTGTGGCCCTGAGCAATTCCCTGCAACTCTCTGAGCCTCTGTTTTGATGGGACCAACATTTTCCTCTGGCATCACGGCCTCCCCTCTGCTCAGAGAAGTCCCACCCAATTTGCCATGTCCCTGGTAAGAGCAGCCTTGGAGAAGCCAGGGTGTCCCCCCAGCTTCTTCCCCTCTGTACTTTAGAGGAAACTACACTCAGAAGAGTCTGCCCCAAAGCCTCCCAACTGGCACTGGGGGAATGAGGTTGGAAGCCACCTCCTCTCCCCCCATGTAAGGTTACCTTGGGGCAAAAGTGGTCAGAAGAAACTCTGTATGCTCAAAGGCACTAAAGGAGACCCCCCACCCCCCGCCGCCCCAAGCTGGGAATAAATTAGGTTTTCTTATGCCTGCTGCGGGGGGAGGGAAGATAGGGTGAAGAGGCGGGTAGAGCAGAAGTGGGGAGACCCACAGAGTGTAAGGAACCAACGGAGAAGGTGAGGGGATAAGTCAGGTAGTATGGGGGGAAGGCTGGGAGATGGTGGGAGGGGGCCAGGAGCTGGAGGGGGATTTGGGGGAGCAGTGGGGATAGGAGGGGGGGTGGAGCAGGTAGCAGTTCCAGCTAGGGGAGGAAGGAACGCGCGGGAAACTAACACGGTGTGTGTGTTCACGTGTCTGGG